CCCCCCCCCCCCTTCTCTCTCTCTGACCTCATGTATTCGGTTTCCTTCTCCTCCTCCTCGTTCCTCGGCGTCACGCCGTCCATATCGCGGTGCATCCCCTCGGTCCCCTGCCTGTGCTCCTCCCTCATTTCCCACCGGTCCGCCAGCACGCCACCCAGCGGTGTGCCCAGGATGCCCGCCAACGACACCATCGCACCGAACACCGAAGATGCACTCGTCTCGTGACGGAAGAAACCTGAATGAAGAGGGCATGAGCACGTCTTCAGGGGTGTGAAGGATGGGGTGGGTGGGTAGGGTGGTTGTGTGTACCGACCGAGTCCCATAAGAAATGACGATCCGAATGTGGAGAAGCCCATTGTGGCGGCGGCGTAGGCGGCGTAGCCCCAAGTGAGTACGAGGAAGGACGGGGCCGTGACCACGGCCAGCAGCTCCTCCACCACTGAGGGGGGCGACGCAGCCTTGCCCTCCTCGCCACCACCATCATCAGCACATGGCGATGACAGTACGCCATCCTGACCCACTGTGACCTCTCTGGCACTTCCCTTGGCTGCCTCCGCAAGATTATTGGTGGTGTAGGTGGGGTGGTGGACACCATCCAGCAGCGGCGCACGGTCATTCTCGCGAGGGCTGGCAGACGGCGAGGGCATGTCAGTGTGTGTGGCCGATGAGGGGGGAGGGGACGGGGAGGTGAGGGAGGCTTCCGTGGTGGCGGTGGCGGGCTCCTGAGTGGACTGGGACTGCGACTGTGGTTGCTTGCTGTGTGTGGCGGGCTTGTTCTTGCGGATTGGGAACGCATCTTCAGGGATCCAGAAACACAGCAATGCCAGCACCAGCACAATGAAGCCCTGACAGACATCAGAGAATGGCAGACGAGAAGCTAAGCTCCATGCCACCGTACAGTACACAGCACTACCGGCTCGGCTGACCTCGATGAAGAAAGCGAAGCGCCATCCGGCGGCGTTGGCCACGACAGCACTGTAGATGTAGCCGAGTGCGGTGCCGAGTGGGATGGCCGTGTAGAAGATGGCTATCCACAGCCCCTGCTTGTCCCCCGCATTGTCGCAGATGAACACCGGGGCGATGCTGGCGTACGACGCCTCACCCACACCACTTCATATCATATGCACACACAGACCATCAAACAAACAGTCGGGCGGGCGATTGGCACTGACTGGTGGTTGTGTTTAACAAAGGTCATGAACCTACCTGAGGATGCGGGCCACGAGCAGGAGGGAGTAGGACTCCACCACACCAGAGAAGCCCGACAGAAGCACTGCACAACGAGAAACGCACACACACACACACACACACAGAGAGAGAGAGAGAGAGAGATCAGGGGTGTCTGCAGATGTGCAGAGGAGCAGTGCTGTGCAGTGGATGGATGGCGTGGCCTGCCTTGCCTGCACAGCTCCACATGGTCAGTCCTACGCCCATGAGCCAGAACCCAGAGAAGTAATGCAGCAGGTGGCCAAACACCAGGGATGACACAGACAGTCCTGACACACACACCCACACACGGTCCACACGTGTCTGTCTGTCTGTCTGTCTGCCTGTGAGTGTGTGAATGAGTGCCCCCAGCCACCGTACGTACCTGCGATGAATGCGCTTTGCAGTAGGCCGAACCACACATCAGTGGCCGTGCCCAGCTCATTCCTGCACAACACAACGAACGAGCACACACACCATCACCATGCATGGGTGGACTCCCTCATCCCCTCCTGCTGTGAGTTTGTCCGGTATCTACTTGATGATGAAATCCGAGAACTCCTGAGGGGCACCTGAAAAGCACACGCACACACACACACGTGTGAGCAGCGTGTTGTCCGTTGCCTGCCTGACTGCCTCCCTGCCTCCCTCTCTCCCTCACCGGGAATGATGCCCCTGTCGAGGTAGATGAAGATGTTGACCAGCGTGAAGTAACCCAGAAGCACACTCGCTGACGGACGAAGCATCCTGACGCCCTCGGGATGAAGCAGAGGAGGTGGAGGAATTTGTGTGAGCTAAGCTCGCAAAGAGAACCTGGCCGACAGGCTGAGATCTGCGATATCATCGTGCGTGTGTACGGAGCGATGGATAAGTCATCGAGTCAGTGCACAGCTACACTACGCCTACAACGGGCAGCCAGGCCCGTCTCTCCGCCGTCCATCCATCAACCAACCAGATCTCTCTATCTGCTCACGCACACGCACAGGCCGTTGTTTGTGGTGGCATGCTCAAGCGACCATCCACCGCACCCCCCGCCCGCATCTATCCACCAATCCATCAATCTACCGGGTTTTTGAACCAACAGCCACCCCCACCCGCAGCAGCTACTACTTCTTGGGGAAGAAATTGTGCAACGTCTGGACATCCAACACACACATAGAAGGAGGAGAGGAGCACCTACCGTGTGCTGGTTTGGTGGCTGGGTGGGTGGGTGGCGGTTCCACTCCCTCCCTCCCTCCCTCCCTCCCTCCCTCACCTGTCCGGGCGGTTTGTCTTTGGCTTTTCCCTTGGCCTTTGCTTTGCCCTTGCCCGACGCCGCCTTGGCCTTGCCCTTGCCCCTAGCACCGCCACCACCGCCCTTGGCCTTGGCCTTGGCCGCCTTGGCGAGGAGCCCCTTCTCGCCGCGTGTCTGCTTGATCATGCCGCCCATGGTGCCCTCCTCCTCTTCCTCCTCCTCCTCCTCCTCCTTGTCCGCACTCCCTCCCTCGCCGTTGTCGTCATCCTCCTCGGCGGGGGCCGCGTCCTTCTGCACACCCGCACCCTGACACACATACGCAGACAATGCATGGTCCATCTGGCATTGGGGCGAGGAGGGGTGGCTGACCTCGAGTCCGCCGTCGGCTTCGTCTGCTCCCCCGCCCGCACCAGCACCGCCGCCGCCGCCGCCGCCGCCTGCTGCGGCCTTCTTGGCGGCCCCGCCGCCCTTCTTGCCGCCGAATAGGGCCATTGGTGTGCGCTTGTGGACTTTCTGGTTGTAGAGGCGGGTGAGCACGCCCTTCTTCTTGGCGTCCAGCATCTTGTAGGTATCATCCTACACAGACACACACACAGACATACACACATCTATTGTACGTGTGAGTGAGAGATTGGGGTGTGTGGTTAGTGGTTACCTGCGTGGGCAGCCTGAGGGAGGGGAGGTGCTCGGCGAGGTGGTCTTTGGTGAGCCCGTAGGCGTCAAGAAACTCAATGCACTCGGCTGACATACATGACACATCACATCAACCACACACGCACATCCATTAAGCAGAAGGTGTGTGTGTGTGTGTATGTCAAGGTGTGCACAGCCCCTACTGGCAGCCTCCGTGTTGTCCTCGATTTTCCGCAGCGGCCGCATCGCCTGCATGGCATGGCCACAAACAAG